TCCTTTTTCAGTGCTGGGGAGTGAACTACTGAGCTATAGTCAGTCTATGATCCCAGCCTCTGAATTTGCTGCTTTTATTGGGATTTTCTCCACTTTGTGTATTCTCGTTTATGTAAGGCCACTCCTCAGTTTCTTGAGAGTAACAATTGCTCTAAGAATGATTTGGGATGGGCATAATGCATCCCTGTAGGAGGATTAGGAGGCTAAAGCAGGAGGATTGCAAGTTCAAAGCCAGCTTCAGCAACTTTGTGAGGCCCTAAGCAACTGAGCAAGAACCTGTCTCAAAATTTTTAAAAAAGTTGCGGGGACTGGAGATGTGGCTCAGTGGTTAAGCACCCCTGGGTTCAATCTCTGGTACCAAAAAAAAAAAAAAAGATTCAGTATTCAGATGCCTGGGAATACTGACAGTTTGTTTTTCCGGAAATTTGTACATAAAAATCAACTTTTGCTATAGATATAAATTCTATAAATTTAAATTCTTAAAAACATTGATGGTTGTTTTAGGTTCCATGTGACTTAAAACAGTTTTCTAATATTTGATGCTTCCAAAGACATTTCTTATCTATAGAAAAAGGAGTGATCAAACTACCAAATTTGAGGGCTTTTAGTTTTTTTCTCTTTTTAAAACAGTTTTGTACACACTAAATATTCACTCATTTAAAACGCACAATTCTGTGGTTTTTAGTATGTTTGCGGAGCTGTGCAACATCACCACAATCAATATTAGAACCTTTTTTCACCCCTGCCAAAAAAAACCTCATATCCATTAACAATCACTCTCCATTTCCTCCCAAACCCTATAAGCCCCAAGCAACCACTAACCTACTTTCTAGCTCTATAAATAACCTATTCTAGACTTTTCATATAAATGGAATTATTCCTAATTTTTTTTTTTTTTTTGGTAATGGAGATTGATCTCAGAGGAGTGCCTTACCTCTGAGTTACATCCCTAGTACTTAATTTTTTTTTTTTTTTTTGAGACAGGGCCTTGGTAAGTTGCCCTAGGTTGCCCTGGAACTTGTGATCCTCCTGCCTCTGATGCAGGAGTCAGTAAAATTATAGGTGTGTGCCACTGTGCCTAACCAATTCCGTTTCCTTCTAAAGCCTTCTAGTAGTTTTGTCATGAAGGCATGACACAGCAATGTCAGCTATTTAAAAAAATTCACTGAAATTGCTAAGATTAGCTTTGAAATCAAGCTTCTCCAAGAAAAGAACTATGGAAAACTTTTATCAATAAATCTTCAATAAAAATAAGAACTTCCATTTATTATTATATGAGCACAAGAGCACGTATAATTTAATATTTAGACTGAAGTGTGCATGCATCAGAAATTGTGCTGGATTACATATTTGTCTCTTTAATTTTCACCATACTGACCATTATTCCTATGTTGAGAAATCTCTGTCAGTGAAGCTCAGTAACTTGTCCAAACACACATGCCTATAGAGGAGCAGAGCTGAGATTTTGGCCAGAGCGCCTGTGCTTCATGGGCCACAATCCAGTTACAACTCCTGTTTATCTCAACACTGTGAGAATCTTCTGATCTTATCTGCATCTGTGGACGTTCTGAATCACAAAAGGCAATTCCCACTGTAACAGAAAGAGCGCTCACAACCACACTGAGGAACTGGCCAGGTGAGAAACCACCTGTTATAGCCACCACACTCCTGAAGCTGCCACTGCTACCAGAATGGACGCCCTTTCTGTGCCAGGAATTCCACCTGGCAGTCACTGCCTTCCTGCACCTGTGAAGCTAAACCATGAAAAACCAGTGTGTTACCTGCCACATCTCATTCTGAACTGTCTCCTGATGTCAAGGTCTATTGGCAGAGCCTAGGTCAATATCCCATTTCTGAGCATATTTAAGAAAATTAAGGATTTTGTCTCCTGCTAAGTTCAACTTCACAGGTCTGGCTTCCTGCTGGAAGGAACCAACCAGCTGAATGATGCATGCCACCGTCAATATGGGTCTTTATGACCCAAAAAGTACCCAAAAGTAGAACAGCTGTTCACTACATCATTTAAGCAAAGCTCTGAGCATCTTAAGGCTAAATCTTAGGCAAATGGCAAATCATGATATAGCTGTGTGCTGTGGTTTGGATACGGTTTTAGTGTATTCCCCAGAATTTCATGTGTTGGCAGTTTAGTCCCCAGGGTGACCTTATTGGGAGGTGGTGTGGAACCTTTAAAAGGTAGGGACTAGTGGGAGGTCCTTAGGTTAATTGGGGGTGTGCTCTAGGAAGGGCCTAATGCATTTCTCAATTTCTCATGTGACCCTGGTTAGTTGTGGCAAGAGGGTTGTTATGAAAGTCTGAGCCTGGCCCCACCCAGTATCTCTCTGACTTCCTGTTTCCAAATAAAATTTCTCCCTTACACAGGGGCTCTTGCCATGATAAGATGCAAACAAGAGGGTCCTCACACCAAAGCTGAGCCAATGCCAGGACCATGACCTCGAACCTCCAAAAGTGAGCTAAATAAACCTCTTATTTATAAAGTCAACCCTCCTCAGGTATTAACTTGTAGTAATACCAAGTGGATTAATGCTGTGACTGGATGGAAGAGTTGAAAGGACAAGGATCTTGCATCAGGCTCATCCCCATGGGACAGAGATCCATCTGTCAACTTCAGAGCAGATTTGCCACCAGTCCAAGTGCTTCTTGCTAGAAGGTCTTCAAGGGCACAGATGTCTTCTTTACCTTTATATACCAGGTAGGACCCCTCCACCCAGGAGGTGGTAGGCTGTCTTGGAACAAATGTTAAGATTACTAAGGGTATATTTGGATGTATCTGTCCTGCTATGGACAGGTAAAGTCTCTCTTCAGGGAGGAGGGATGGCATTCATGTCAATCATCTGGGGAAGATGTGGGTCCTCCTACAGGAAGCCAGAACTTTGACGTTGGGTTTGGCAAGAGAGAAAAAGCCCTGTGTCCCCTGGTCCTACTTTCTGGGTTCTAGATTCTGGGAGTGGAGGCATGGTCAGGGCACTTTAGGGCTTTTCTAGGAGATGGCAGGACAGTGGGCTCTGCCACTCCACAGCAGGCTAGGAGCTGGCCTCCGAGGCAAACTGGAGAGGGCCAGGGGTAAGGATGTTCCATTCTAGGGACTGTCTTTCCTTCCCTTATGTCATCCTGAGCTCTGAAGAAAGTGGTATTTAAAGGCTTCTCTCCAGTCTTAGCCAGGAAGGGGGGAATTATGACTTTTGTGGATCTTCCCTTCCGTCAGAGGTGTAGAGGGGCACAGTGTCCCTTACCTGGAACCAAGGTGGTGGTACCGAGCAAAGTTGGTATCCAACCTCTGAGGCTGAGGAGTCCTTTTGCCCCCACCCCACAATTATAGATTTTTTAAGAATTCAGAGAGGGAAATGATGGATTCTGTTTTATAACTTCAATAAATCTGTTGAATGAACAAAAGGGAGGGTGGTACTTATAAGAGGAGGCAAATCAGCATGAGTCTTCCCTAAGCTGGGCAGCTCAGGATACTGGAATGTCCCAACAGGTACTTGAGGCCTAGTGAGGACCACCCAAGTAGTTAGTGGCCAGAAAATATGTCAGATAGTAATGAACCTAGGCAGAGGCAAGGTTAAGGACCCAGCCTGGGAAGATAGTTTCTAAGAACTAAGTCCCTAAGTGGGTTGTGGGGAAAATGATGAAGAATAGGAAGAGGAATACAATTGTCCTCTTCAGGGATTTCAGCCTTATTCCTGATGTACCAGCACAGCTACTGAAGCCAAGACTCAGGAGAACAGAACTTGAGCAAAAACCATCTAGAAAACAGAAGCTACAGTGATTTGAGACTCTCTCCTTGGCTTCTTGGGCCAGAGCCCTGGTGTTAGCATTTGAAGAATGAATTGTGGAGACAGGAGCCATGGAAAGGCTAAGAACCTGCAGAGTTGGATATGTGCCTATTAGTGAGATCAGGAATCTCAACAAATTATCAATAAACAGAAAAGCTGAAGGTGAAAAGGTGAAAAACTAAAAGGAAAAGATCAAGGCTGTATTGAAAGTGACCGATTCCAGTATGACAAATGGATAAACTGGCTCAAATCCTTTTTGGGGGCCTGAAATTTGGTTACTTAAACAATTGAGGCTGTTTTTAACCTAAAAGAGTTTTCCCTCAGCTGGGTGTGGTGAGGCACACTTATGATCTCAGGGACTCTGAAGCTGAGACAGGAGGATCCCAAGTTTGAGCTGGCCTCAGCAACTTAGTGAGACCCTGTCTTAAAATTCAAAAATAAAAAGGGCTGGGGGGGTGCAGCTCAGTGGTAATGTTGCCGAAAGTTGGGTCCTTGTCCCCGATGTCAATCCAATAACGAGGACATGGTTTTGAGAAAAAGGAAAAAGAAGATTTATGGCTTTAGCAATAAATTTATTCGTCTAGCAAAGGAGAAATACAAGGACTCCTATTCCAAAGGCTGTGATTCTGCCCATCAGCAAGATAAAGAGGTGATTCAGAGAAAATGAGATCAGGGAGGGTCAGACAGAAGAAGGTTGGGGGAAAAGAAAAGTGTAAGTTTCAAGTGACAAGGGATACAGTCAAAACATCAAGTAATCCCTGTTATAGTAGATTGCTCTGGGTTCAATCCCCAGTACCACCAAATCAAACAACAACAACAACAAAACCTTTCCTTATAACATGGAGAATCTATGCCACAGCTTCAATATTATTAATTTAAGAAAAGGTTTTATCAGGGTATGATGATGCATGTCTGTAAACCCAGTGACTTGGGGGCTGAGGCAGGAGGATCACAAGTTCAATCAACTTATTGAAGCCCTAAGCAACTTAGTAGACAAGAGACCCTGTATCAAACATTAAAAAAAAAAAAAAAAAAGCTGGGGGGCTACATATGTAGTTCAGTGGCAAAACATCCCTGGCTTCAATCCTCAGTACAAAAAAAAAAAAAAAAGATTTAAAAAACCCATGGTTATTAAATTAAAATATTAAAAATATAAAAATATGGTTATTATTACTAGTAGTTGTTTATGTGACACAGACCACTGAATAATCATTAAAGTAATTTTATTAATATAAACATTTACAAACATAAATTGCACTGTGCCTGAAATTAATGATTGCAATTTTTTGGTAAACCTCACCTTCGAGTTGTTCAACATTGAAAATGTTTTTATTACTATGTGCTTGCTGCAATACAATCAGCCCTTCAGGTCTAACTCCCATTTTTAACAAGATTCACAGAATTACAGGCTCCTAAAATGTTGTGGAACTATAGCTCTTATTATAAAGCTACATTTTACACTGGTCACAATTTTTAGTGACAGAGTACTATCATTACAGAAGCCAAATTATAGATAACTCAATGAAAAAAAATCACTTTATACCAATTAATATCCCATGATTTAAGCAGAAAACCCCCAAATTTCCTTTTGAAGATGTACATTTCTTTGTTGTTTTAATTATCACACTCTTCACACGATAATTCTTTCTTCGAAAATCAGAGTCCTGAGTGCTGTGCTTCTGAATCATATCTATATCACAGCACTCTGGGGACAGACCAGCTCCTTTTCACCATCCTCTACTTCCTTCTAGGTGCCCAATTTTGTGGCAAAAGCAATTAACCAAACCTCAAGAATTTCAATCTTTTGTCATTTGCCAAAGATGCAAATGCATAAAATTTACATATCTTTGTTTATTAAGAAGTCTATAAGACAGGAAATTGGGTCCATAAGACAATAAGTTAGCATCTTCACATGACTGAAAAGCCTCTGAGGAATTTAAGACACAGGCAGGCTTATGGAAACCTAACACTTCAACCTTGTGATCAGAGATGAAGCTTGAAGTGAAATCTTATATTTGCATTGAGCCTAAGAATTTTTACTATCTCTGAAAATTAAAAAAATAAACAAATAAACCTCTTTAAAAGTGGACACTGGAGTCTATTTCTAGAATTTCTAAATCAACTAGATATAATTGATTTCTGCAGCCAGAATGGATCATGAAGTTAGGCAAAAGTACAACCTAGCTGTTTGGTATTTTCTTCATTCAATACTCACAGAGAAGGTCTTTGTAATAAGAAGAGTACAAAACTCCACTAAGCAAATTTCCTGAACTTAGCTTTTAAGAGGCTGTTCCAAAAATCTTAGAATAGTTTTGAGCTTTAATAAGCTCAGAAGTATAAATGCAGCAAACTCGCAAAAAACATTTATCATTCAGAGGTTTGGTTAGTTAAATTTCATTAGTTTTTTGTTTTGATATTGCATATTTAGGTTTTGTTGCTGTCTAAGTACCTATGTTTGAAAATGGCAATCAGTAACTGTTTTTGAGTTATTAGATCTTCAAACTGCACTAAGACTTTCAGAATAACCTGAATGATTCTCAAGTCTGAGTTTCAGTTCTAGCTCATTTTACCTGAGATGCATTTAGACTCTGACATGGGTTAAACTGTTTCCCCTAGAAGGCAGTTCTCTTCTTGCTATATTCCCAGAGCAAAGCTGGTTGATAACTCTCTGAACTCAAGTCTGGAGTTTTCTCACACATTGCCAAGGAAGTGATTAGTTTAGTGAAAAGTATAGAGGCACACAATTCTCAAATTCGTATGATATAGCAACACATCTCCACCTCTATGTCTGATGTCAGAGCAACTGACAAAGAACTGAAGCAGCACTGTGACAGTGAACATCAAAATGATCATATTTTAATAAATTTCCACAGATTCATCCAGTTTAAAAGACCTGTCTTGACTCCAGGTGTTTTCTCTTCTTCCTGATTAATGTCATTTGGGCTTTTATCTGCATCTTCTTTTGTTTTTATAAGGGTCTCATATATTTTCTGGGTTCTGATAATTTCTTTCTGTGCATCAAAATGGACTTTTTGTCTGGCCAGGATGGGAACAATTAAATTAAAATCATTAATTCTCTTGTTTAGTTTTCGAATGTTTTCTTGAAACTGCTCACAAACTTGGTTCCACTGTTTCTGTTCTGCCGGTGTCATAGGATTTCCAAGTTTTTTCCTAGACACTAAAATCGCCTCTCTGAGTTGTTCAATAGTATCTTTTATTTCCTTTTGCATTAGGATCCATTCTGGTTGGTATCCATTATCTATCAATATTCTGTTCAGGTTGTGAGTCATGGGATCAATATATGAACACCCAGAAAACTTTTTTAGAGGTTTTCCTTTCCCGCTGAGATTGTCAAAGTCTCCTTTTGCCATTGATTCCTGAATGAGGTCCTCCACTAAACGCTCGATTGCCTGAGTTATCTTTTGTTCTTTGCTCTGTCTGACATCTTTGACAGTTACGCTGTTAGTGAAGTGCTGGCTTTGTAGCTTCTGCTTTCGATATTCCATCACTTGCTCAGTCGCACGATCTGCCCTAAATTGCCTATATTGTTTTTCTCGCTGACTTGGAGTCCCAAAACCAATACCTTCAAAACTTAAATAATGCCTGTGCTGGGGTGTATTATATTTGAATTTTTCTTCTTCTTCTTCCATTTCTTCAACTTTATTCTGTCTGGCATGTGATTGTTCTACCACGTGGGAAAGTACCTTCCTATAAGCTTCCTCAATTCTTACAAATGTTGCAGAATCAGCAGTACTAGAGCCGCTATCTGGATGGTATTTCTTGGCAAGCTTGCGAAAAGATTCCCTGACATCATCTGCAGAGCATCCTTCATCTAGACTCAGCAGCCTATAATATTCTCTGATCTTCTTATTGGACTTATGGGTTGATATCATTCTATTTCTAATGACACCAAGATACAGAAGCATTTTCACTCCATTAGGAATCCGTGAAGCACTTATCTGGTGAGATCTTAAGATCTGAGCCATCGTCACATGCATTCTGTTCATCATTGTACCCAGAGTTCTTCTTCACAATGACCTATAAAATGACAACAAATTCAGGTTGAACAAAGTTATTATCAGTTGATTTCTTGTTTTTAGTAATAAAAGAAGGTGTGAAGTTATAAATCTAGTAAGGGAAAATTCATTCTTTTTTTTTTTTTTTTGTGGTACTGCGGACTGAACTAAGGGGCACTTTAACACTGAGCTACATCCACCAGCCCTTTTTATTTTTTATTTTGAGACAGGGTGTAAGTTGCTGAGCCTGGTCTCCAATTTGCCATCCTCCTGCCTCAGCCTCCTGAATCTCTGGGATTATAGAACTGCACCTCGATGCCCAGCAAGGGACAGTTCTTTCTAATGTTGCTGACAAAATTCTTACAGCGTGTATTTCACTGATGTTAACAAGAGAAATGGAAGTCGATGATGTTTAGCATTAACGTATTGTGACATAATCTGAACTCCACTCCTCACTAATCACAGAATTTTAGAGCTGGGAAGTTCTTAGTGATCACCTAATCCAATCTTCTCATTGTATGAGAAAATGTAGTCCAAAGGTTAAGCAATTTAACCAGATTGCATAATGAAGTGTAAACAAAATGGTTGGGGGGGCACAATAAGGACGTTTAATTGTATCCTCAGCAGGTTATAAACTTCAAACAAACAATTTTTCCAATTAATATGTCATGGTCTCCATCGTTTCGGAAGTCTTCTCATAAGAAGACTTAGGCACATAAAACAGAGAGCAATGGAATATGTACCTGGTTATCTAGACTGAGCAGGATCAAGCGTCCAAAAGACTTAAGGCTCCATAGCTCATTAGGAAGGAGCTATCTACGAGTGCTGGGAAAGCAAAGATGACAGGGGAGATGGCCCTAGCAAAATGTTCGCTGCTATTTTAAAAATGCATGGTCCAGTAAAGGAGACCTGTACATAGACAGTGGCTATAGAATACTAGAATGGCTTAACTGAAAGTGGGAATTTTATCTGTAAACGCCAAAAGAGCTCCTGGGAACCCCTGTTGGAAGAACGACCGGGGTCAACGGACTTGGGCATTGGTTCGGACGGAGAAGGTTACAGCGCAGTCAGTCCGGACCCGGGACACGCCCCGCCTGGCCCCTACTCACCTTCACCGGCGTGGGGAAGGGGCCCCGCGCCTCCCGCCCCCTAGGCTCCGCCTCTGCGCATGCGTGGGCGGGTCGCCCTTCACTCCCCAGGCGCTGGCGCGGCGGTCCGCAGCCGGGTTCTCGGCTGGGCGACACCATCTGCAGCCTTACTCTGGGGGGGCCTCTCGGAGCACGGAGCCTATCATCCTGCCCGATTCCGGCGGATGACCTGGCTTACCAGGGAATCTGGAAATGTCCCCCATCGCGAACTTGACCTGGAGGACACAGGCAGGACACCCCGGAGGCTGCGGCCTGCCCCAGGGCTGCAGCTCCGCCTCCACCCCCTCCCCGAGCGGAGGTGGTTCGGCCGATTGGGCTTGTGGGAGGTGTATTTCCGCCCGAGGTTCGGGTTGGGGGCCTCAGCGACGCGACTCGCGGGAGGCAGCTCAGCGGGTCCCCGGCGCTCAGCGTCCGGAGCACGCGTGTCGGTTTGACAGCGAAGTCTTTGTCTTTTGGAGGAGATGACTCTGGGTTATTTGGGGCGAGGGAAGTTTAGGCCGATTGCTCCTGCAAGACCAGGACGGCCCCTTCCGGGGACACCTGAGTTGCCCGAGGTCACTAAGCTACTTAGTAACTGACCCGGGCTTAAAAAGCTGGTCTGTCTTTAACTCGGCGAGTACCTAACTCTACTTAGCTCTAATGGCCAGGCGTTGGTAGGGGCTGGGGACAGGCTAGAAAAGAAGGGTCTGTTGGCTTCGGTTCAACCGCAGACAGGGTTAGGTGTATGGTACCCTCCTGCACTGAACAGGTAGAAAAGTTGTATTTAAAGGGAGAGGAAAGACTTGAGGATTTTTCAGACCTGGGTTGAAAATAATCTTTCTTCCATTTTCTGTGTGCTTTAGGCAAGGCATCTGTGACTGTTTGTAACCGAGTATTTAGCATTTTTGTTTACCAGGCACTGTACTGGGTGCAACAGCCGCCTGGGAGAAATACTATTACCATCCCCATTTTACATACGATGAAATAATCATTGCATCAAACTCACCCACTTGATCTTCATACACATGACTCCTTTCCTCTCTTAAATTTGGTACCAAATTCTAAGACAGCTAGAATTATCACTTTTAATGGCCCCAAAATGATAGAGCCCAAACTAAATTCAAAGTGAGCATGACCATTTCACCAGTATTTAGACCACAGTTCAGATTAAGGGAGCTGAATCTGTCTGCCTAGCTCTCTAGGCTGTTCTTTATTAGACAGAATTACACAATATTAAAAAGCAATATTTTTTGGTTGACCCAGTGTCTCGTAAAGGAGCCAAAAATGGGCACCAACCCTATCAATTATAAACAACATGATCACTGATTTCCTTCTGTGTAAGGAACACACTGAACTGCAAAGTGTAAAGTAGACCACACTGACTTTGATTATTTTTGATTATTTTTCTCATATATAGTCGTGCGGAGATATGCATTGTTAGGCAATTTCATCTTTGTGTGAACATCACTAAGTGTACTTACACAAACCTGAGTAGACATAGGTCAGTGGTCTTGAAACACAATCACAATGCATAGTAAACATAGGGTAGATGAGGCTATTATCAGGGTAACACAGCATACTGTTCTGCGGTAAACGTCTTTAAAAACTCTTTTTTGGGGCAGGGGGTGTACTGAGGATTTAAACCCAGGAAACTTAACAACTGAGCTGCATTCCCAGCCCTTTGTATTTTTTTTTTAATATTAAAATAGAGTCTTGCCAGGTGCGATTGCACACACCTGTAATCTGAGTGGTTTGGGAGGCTGAGACAGGAGAATTGCTAGTTCAAACCAGCCTCATCAACTTCGAAGTGCTCAGTGAATAAAATACAAAATAGGGCTGGAGATGTGGCTAAGTGGTTGAGTACCCCTGAGTTCAATCCCCATTACCGCCCCGCTCTCCAAAAAAAAGGTCTTTCTAAGATGCGTAGGGCCTCTTTAAGTTGCTAAGGCTGGGCTCAAACTTTTGATCCTCCTGCCTCTCAGCCTGTGAATCTCTGGGATTACAGGGGAGCTATGATATTAGCTACAAACTTTTTTTTTAATAAGTAGGAGTACACTCTAGAAAGAAGATGAAAAGTATAGATAGTAAATACATAAACCATTAACATAGCAACTTGTTATCAAATATTATGTACTGTATATAATTGTATTGCTATGTGTTTATATAACTGGCAGCACCTGGTAGATTTGTTTATACCTGCATCACCAAAAGCAGATCAAATGGGGAGCTACAATTATAACAGCAGCTACTATGTCACTAGGTGATAGGAATTTTTCAGCTTCAGTATAGTCTTGTGGAATCACTGTAGTATATGTGTTCCATCTTTGCCAAAAATGACCAAATGATGTGGACATAGGCAGTTGCTGGTATTGGTTAGTTGAATCAGTGTGCCAAGAGTAGGCACATTTGTTTCATTCTTTCTCCACGTGTAGACTTTTTATGAGTAATTGTAAGTTAATTGCAGGCACTTAACCTCCCAAAATGCACTATTTCTTTTTTCAAAACAAGGACATTCTCTTAATGTCACCATGATACTATTACCCAATTCAGCAAATTTAACAGAGCATTATCTAATCTACAGTATTCTATTTCAGTTTCATTAAATGTCCTATTGGTGACCTTCAGAACAACACATAAACTCCTACAGCAGCAGCAAGTTGTATTGGTGATAAAGCATTCTTTTACAGTTCATTGGCTCTATGATGACTGCAAAGAAACTGACTTGTTTTCATTAAATTGTGATACCAATAGTAACCAAAATCCATAGCTCCCTGCAGATTGATTGAAGCTCAGTATACACATTGGTCATCAACATTTGCAAATGGTGTCATCTAAGCCGCAATTCTTAGAACTACTGTTAATATGTGTTTCTCTTTGGGTGCCATCTTAATACTCTTTTTACTCCATTTGATCATAGAGGAGTTTTACAAAAAGAGTGTCAATTTTAGTTTATTTTTAAAGAGAGAATGAGAGAGAGAAAGAGAGAATTTTAATATTTATTTTTTAGTTATTGGCGGACACAACATCTTTGTTTGTATGTGGTGCTGAGAATCGAACCCGGGCCGAACACATGCCAGGCGAGCGCGCTACCGCTTGAGCCACATCCCCAGCCCCAAGAGTGTCAATTTTAAAAGAAAGAAAGTGACAGATTGGCTGCCAGGCTCTGTGGCGTGTGCCTGTAATCTCAGATGCTTAGGAGGCTGAGGGAAGTTCAGAGCCAGATTCAGCAAAGGTGAGGTGCTAAGCAACTCAGTGAAACCCTATCTCTAAATAAATTACAAAATAGGGCTGGGGATATAGCACAGTGGTTTAGTACCCCTAAGTTCAATCCCCAGTACCCCTCCAAAAAAAAAGTTGTGGATTGACTTAAGAAGGACAGTACCCCTTTAATTCTTAGGGGATATTTCCAAGATCCCATGTGTATGCCTGAAATCAGGGCTAGTACTGAACCATATATATATATATATTAGTCCCTGAGCGCGTATATCTCTAATAAGGTTAAATTTGTAAATTAGGCAGAGTAGGAGATCAACAAAAATATATAGTAATAAAATAGAATTATTATAACAATATAATGAAGTTCCTAACATCACTACTCTAGTGGTTGGGGCCATTATTAAGTAAAGAGTTTCTTGATAATGATAACCATGGCAGTTCATCTGATAATCAAGGTGGCTAGGTATTGGATACCCAGGATGGAGGGATGATTTGCTTCTTGGGTGAGACAGAGCAGAATGGTGAGAAATTTCATCACCCTATTCAGGATGGCATAAAATTTAAAACTCGTGAATTATTTCTAGAATTTTCCACTTAATATTTTCAGACCATGATTGATGGTGAATAACTGTCCCTACTTAACCACTGAAATTGAAACCATGGTTAAGTGGGGACCATTGAACAAGCATAAAGTATGGGGTATGGGTGGGAAAAAGTACTGTGGAAAAGAGAAGACTCACACTCACTTGGACATTGTGTCCTCTTCCCTCTTCCCATCTGGGTTGATTAGTGACTGAATGGTTCAGGAAGGGCCACATGTGGAATTTGTGGAAACTTGCTAATGGAAGTTGCCTTCTCCTACCCAAGCACTCTTAAATTTTATTTCTAGCTTTGAAGTGATTTATCACTTGAGCCTGACTTATCAGCATTTTCTCTTCATTTCTTAAAATTATGAACAATGTATATACCATTCTCTGATTGCAGGCCACTAGTGAGGAAAGCAAGTGCACATCAGCTGCCCAGGGATCAAGATTTGGATTGTTTCAAACCTGTATTACATTCACCCAGCATGTTTATTGAAATTATTGCTTTATGGCATGGCTACACTTTGCTTTTCTTATCCTTGAACATGATCTGATAAGTTAAAAAGGGTTGCCTCCTTTTTCTTGATGCTTTTTAATTGTCAAAGATTTTGGCAACAAAACTCCAAATACTTAAAACTGTCACTAACAAGCTGGATGTGGCAGTACATGACTGTAGTCTCAGTTTCTGGAGAGGCTGAGGCAGTAGAATCACCAGAGCCCAGGAGGTTATGGCCATCCTGACCAACATAATGAGATCCTTTCTCAAATAACAATAATAAAAAATTCTTAACAGGGCTGGGGATGTGGCTCAAGCTGTAGCTCGCTTGCCTGGCATGCGTGCGGCCGGGTTCGATCCTCAGCACCACATACAAACAAGGATGTTGTATCTGCCGAGAACTAAAAAAATAAATATTAAAAATTCTCTCTCTCTCTTAAAAAAAATTCTTAACAATAACACTGTGTGTGAAAGAATCATGTAAGATGCTTTAGCAGAGATAATTGGTTTTAAGGCATGTTTAACTCTAAAGACAGCTTTGTAATGACATGAAATGGTGGTCCCATTCAAAAAAGCCCCGCCCAAGTAGTGTCCCTGAAAGACCCTTTTACTACAACTTCTCCAGAAAGACCTCAAATTCTGGGTGACACTAGATCATATATTCCATGCTATTCTCAATTGAACAGCATAGAAAATAAGCACATAAATCCAATTTGCAACTCAAACTCCCTTTTGAAGAAGCCCTTCCTGACTAAACAAATGGAATCTGTTGTGTTAAATGAAATCAAGTAATTACATAATTTCCATTCTTTGCTTGACAGCTGAGGTTTAATT